ATACACGTACGCGTGACCACCGTTTCACACTTCAAAAACAGGAATCATTCAAAACTCCGTCAGTGTTTCGTCTCTCTAAGAGAGTGACCAACATTTGGAATTCTCTTTATGCGGATATGGCGGAAAAGGTGAATGACGGCTCCAAACGGAGTCTAGACGATTACCTTTTGAAGAGGTGGCCAGCTGATGGGTAGCTTGTCAGGATCTGGAGGAGTGAAGGCTTATACGGGAGGAATCCCTACTGCTCTTCATTTCAGAAGGTTAAGGTTAAGGTAATTATGTGGAGGGAGTTGATTCTGTCATTACACAACCTGTTGCTTACAAACCCCTTTCGCATTTTCCCCCGTTATTAACAAAGCGCTCTTGTAATGTTCATCCATAGCTAATTTGGTTGGATCCAAGAGAGGGAAACTGATCTTAATCAAAGCAAACTGTAGTTCGTTCTTAGGTTATCGCTCTTTCCAGATCAGCTTAACTTGTCTGATAGTAAACAAGGCAATGCAAGAAAAAGAAATAACCTTCTAGATGACAGAAACCCCTGAATTGCAGACGACTATTGATATGAAAAAGGTTTGATCCTTCGACTGAGGAACACTGATATGTTATAATGGTATGCCCCAGTCTCTCAGTGTTCAGTTAGAGATGATTGCTCAAGAGTGATTTTGGAAATGCCACAAAATAAATTTTCACCCTTTACTTCCTCATCTGATGTTAGTAGTATTTAAACGTAAAGTTTTGGGATTCCGGGCAAGTAGTAAACTTTTATCCTGCGTTCACCAACAGAAAACCAGTAAATCTGCTTTCCCCTTAAAATGATAAGATTTTCTTTGTCTCTCGTTTATTTTCAAGATCTTTATTGACTCTATGAAACCTGTATACGTTATCGGTCGAATGGTTTAGTCATTAACAGAGAAGTACAGGCAAAACTCGAACGGGACTTGAATAGGACTGTTGATCGTACCGCTGTTCCTTTTTTCCTGAGTGGTCTAGTGTTCTATTTCTGCACTTCTACACAGGCTATGTTAGTAAATGTTTAGAGCAGTTCACTAACGACACTTGGACTTAATTTTATCTTCAAAACTTGCAATAATACTTCTTTCCTTCTGGAATGTGAAACGTGTATGTTCACAGGTGCCTTTAAGCTGATAAGAGACATATTAGTAGGAAATTATACCACGGTTAATAGTTTCAAAACCTGAAGCTCAAACTGAATCATACCGGGTTTTCGTCCGCCATTATTGTAAATTTCAGGTTTGCTTTGGTTCTACTTTTGTTAAGCGTATGCAACAGTGTCTTTTTTCTCGTTTTTTATCCACTTTATCAAATTCTCAAGTGCTAAGGGCAGTGGGAATTCCCGTATTAACCCCATCACATTGTGCCCCACTGGGCTGATTAGATGTTGACACCAGACCAGTACTCCTGCATGGCTCATCCACCACGTCCTCCTGAAGCGCATTCCAGAAGTTTTTCACCCTCCTCGATAGGCGACAGACCAGCGGCAGACCGTTTGGCCGCATATTTCAGAGCGTCATTGCATGTCACCTTATGCGATTGTTGTTCCTCAGGGGGAATTCTGACCACAAATCTGGGCCAAAATCGCCTCGGATAATGCGTCTGATGTGGATCAGGTGGCCTCTCAGTCGTCTGTTTGACATGGGCAACAACCCTGTTGTAATTACTCCGCCCTCATAGCTGATCCTGCATAGTCCTTCGACGAGGCGTGTAGCAGCCCTTTGGAATCTCTCAAATGGGGCAGCCTCAGAAGCCGTACAAGAAAAGATCGCCGGACCGCCATATTCCAATTGGGGGCGTACTTGGGAGACAAACAGCAATTTGAAGGCCGCCAGGGGTAGCGGACCAAACGAACGGCGGATAGCACCGAACACACTCCATACAGAAGAACAAGCTTTATCTGGCTGTTCACTAGTTTTCAGGTCGCTGGTGACGACAACACCTAACTCTCGTTCCTCAGTTGACTGCCGGAGCACGGTACTTCCAAGACGATAGCTTGTGTTAAGACCATGTCCTCCTATCCTCATGTGGGCGCACTTGGAGATATTCTTCAATCTTTACTTGTGAGAAATCTTCAAAAACACACCGAAACTATTGATGTGTGAAATTTATCACCAAGGGATATGTGAAGTTGCTTATAAGATTAGGTATTGTTAAAATAGAAAAAACGAATAGGTACCATATGCTAGCTGCTTCTATTTTTAGTTTAAATTACAGATATGCGTATTCGTAACCATAAATCTTTCCCTGTCATTTAACTCAAGTCTTTTTGATCACAAAGAAAAGACATTGGACAGCTTTTTGTCCTGTGCGTCAGCAGTACATACCTTTTGCATCCTTGCCGAGGATCGAACTGTGAAACTTCCGCTTTTGATTTAAAATCCTCACCCCTGAGCTACGTGGTTGCTAACCTCTATTTTGAGTGAATGGCTCACCCAAAATACAATAACGTTTTTGGTTAGGCTCATCGGCAGCGCTTCATGCATGTAAACAATCGAATGGGCAAGACCAAAAATGATATTTCAAACTCCTTTTCACGTTCAATGTACATACTATTATTTACTTTTTCTACTTTGTAAGCTTCCCGCTTGCTCGCCCGTTAGATGATTTAATTGTTTCCTTTGCTTATACATAGTGAAGCAGAACCCATCTTTGGAATGTTACTCCGAGTGTCTGGTCTTTATATTTTCAACATGAGCCTTCAGGTTTACATCTCACATCGCAAACATACTAAACCTGACCACTTGTTACCTGTGTGTAATGGACGATCTGATTCGACTATATGATAATTTATCTTTGGATTACTGATCTTTGATTGATCCAGTTGATGACTAGAAGGCGCCAAGAAACAGCAAATCTTACTTTCCTCTAGTACGTGCATTAACCGTTATGTTGCAGACAATACCGACGGTTCAGAAACTGAAACACTGTTTCCGTGTCACAAATTTAAACAGAGAAGTCAGAAACATGGATTTGCACAATGTATCCATGGTCATTTTCCTGTATATGTGCACGTGCATACTTCCGCCAAAGCGATTTTGTAGTCAATAAGATACTAACTGTGAGACGAAGACAAGGTCGCTAATCACGACATAACAACACGAAAAAGGGGACGAGGGGGGGGGGATTGGAGGGCAATAACCAAGGCAAAGATAATGTGACTAATCATTCACGTTATTAGCATAGATCGGGTTTGGGAGTATGAATGGCTAGAGCCTCGGCAAATTTCCGTAGATTTGTGTTTGTTGTGTTGTAGATGATCTGGAATTCGTGGGTTGGAGCGACGCAATGTTTTTGGTTTGAATACGCGTTGTGTTATTGAAGATCTAAGTTCCTTTTGATTACTCGATGATGTAACGGTTACAAGCTTGTCGTCCATCGCTTTCTTGAGTCACATCAGGATATGTTCGGCTATTCGGTGACGTAACTGCCTCACTGTCCTACCTGTGTAGATGGCCGAGCATCCGCACTTGAATTGATAAATACAACTTGGTTTGGTGAAGGAGGGGGGGCAATGGTTCTTTCACTGATGTCGTTGTTATCCGGGTGGTAATGAAGACAATGAGTGGGTCAACTGCGTAATAGTCCCGCTTGTACCTCATTGTGAGCGCGTTTTAGTAAACCGAATACCTATTACGACAAGTTTCATTAGCGGCCTTTCAAATCAGTATATTTTTAACATTTTATGATTACATTAAACCTCAAACAATATATATATATATATATAACACCGGCTTGTAGTCAAGCACGGTGCTAACGCTACAACAATAATAACAACAACAATAATAGGGGATAGGTGGATTGGTGTACAGAACAGAGTGAAAAGAGGGCGAAACAGTAGAACGCGGGAAAATGGAAGATAACTGGGATAACAAAAGTTTGTGTGTTTCACCATACAGTTTTTGATGGGTTGCTGTTAGCCCATCTTCTAACCCAGACGGAGGGATTGAGTGGTAAAACAGTTCCGAACTACACTAGGGACACCGCTCCGTATCCTGTTTCCATAAAATTCCCCCCTCTCTGTATATATCTTTCATAATAAATAGTACATGAATGACTACAAAATTTCCTTGGAAGCACACGACCGGTTTCGTAGTTCTTACCACTCTTCTGGCCGGCGCATACATTAATCTTTTGTCAGTTTATTAACATACTTGTACCCAGGAAGTGTGTTTTCGTTACAACCTCATTTGAAGTGCCATGTCATTTTGAATGGAAAGCTTTTTTACAGACAGCCCATTGAAGAAGCACTACTTTGATGTTTTATCCGGTAGTCCGAATGAGGTTATTGTGACGAAAATGTGTTCAAGTTGTGTGCCTAACAAATTATAGAATAATAATATTTATGAAAAGCTAAAGTTCCGTGAATAGCTACTGTATGTGATACTTCTAGGTTGCCCAGGATATTTACAAGCGGAACCACTGACTAACTAACCAAAGCCTGACCACTAGGTCAGTAGGGCGGTTTCTGCACACTGCGATCTATTGGAGGCTGGTATCTAGTTCATCGCATCATACACTTTTTGGGCGGTCCAAGGTGCCCAGTATACCTCGATGGCCAGTCAAACCGATGAGCACTGCCAAAACCAGGAAAGTGTGTGTGGTTCACTCGCTTCCATGGGTAATATCCACGAGGTAAAACTTTCCTCCAACAGGAAATAATCGAGGCGTTCCTTGGCAATTTTTCCTTTTATGAATAACTCCTTTACTGTTTAACTCCTAAAAATGATGCGAATTCACCTTGTGGAAGCACAAATCTGATTTTAAATCGATTCGGTTCCTTTTTTACTGGTTCATAATCCTTTATTTACCATTTAACTTCGTTTATGTTTTTGTCTATCTCAATCAGAAAATGTTGAACAACCATTTTACGTCCGAATTTTAGCTTTATGCCACCAAGAACAAAAGAATTGGCATATGTGCAGTCGAGTTCAATTTTCGAGGAAGAGAGGGAATAACAGAGGAGCACAAACAAATCCGTTCGTGTGATGCAACAACCGGTAAAAGTTGTGGCCGAACGAGTTGACCAAAGTTATCAGGATTATCTATCTTATCTGAAAGAAAAGAATCGACAACGGGCACAGTTGCGTCGCAAAAGCCGTGAGGCACGTCGAATAGAAAGATTGGAACAAGGGTTCAATTTATTTTTTAATCTACCTCCTCCGGATATTCATCGAAGACGGGCCAAATCACGCGATCCTTATCTTGCCGGACGATGGACTGAGGAGTCCACAGGCTCTTCCGATGAGTTCAGGAAGACGTCCACCGAGCGAACCAAGAGCGCACCAAATCTTAAACAGACAGAAGGTCGCCGACGGACCTGGGGTCCAGTAATTGTTCCCAGCAGGGTCAGATGTGTTACACCGGCCAAGAAAAAATCATCAAATTTCTCTTATGAAAATTTTCCCGAATCACAAATCAGTGACCGGAATAACAATAACGATGAAGGTGTTCAGCAGCAGCAGCAGCAGCAGCAGCAGCAGCAGCAGCAACAACAACAACAACAAAAACAACAACAACAGCAACAACAACCGTCAGGGTTAATAGAAATTGATGAACCAGATTCCGAATTTGTGCCTTTGGTGATAAAAATTGACGTGCTGAGCAACTGGGGCGATATAAATGCAGTCGGATTTCGTGAGTTCTGCCTCAAATCTAACAGTAGCAAACAAGTCTGTTCAATTTCTGAACTACGAATGTTCAGATTGGATTCCGATGGCCAGACCAGAGACAAGGACATTTCCAATAAGCTACAAAATGCGCTTACACATATACTACAGTGTCATCCTTGGAAAACAGATGCAGCTCTAATTCCCTTCCGATTACAGTTCACATTTGCTTGTCCCTCCAAACAGGAACATTTCTACCTTCGATTGAGAAACTGGTCTGACGGGAAAAATAAACCCTGTCCTATCAGTTTGAATCATGTGCGTTGTACATTTTTGCTTGGTTCCGAAGGAGAAAGAGTTATTGAAACCAATATTCAGCCTGATGATCAACTTGAACTCGATATTGATATGCGCCGAAAAACAGTCAGCTTTCAAGAAACTGGCGTGGGAACATTCAGCGGTGATACTAATCAAGTGAATACAGATGATGATAATTCGTCTTATCCGATGCATCAGCCATCGTGGTTGCATTGTGAACCACCAAAAAAAAGTCTTCTCCCCAGTTCGGATTTACTCGATCAAGTCAGTCCTGACTTATTAAGTCGTCAGTTTGATCGTATCCGACAGAAACGTATACACAGTGGCAGGGATAGGATAAATTCACTTTTGGAGTGTTCTTGGTCCTCACTAGATTTTTTCAATCACTTTCATGCAGGACGACTCAATACAGATCCAATAGCTTACCAAATCAATAAAACCACTCAGGAGATACCCGATGCTGGAGAGACTTTTTCGGTGTGTGCAGATGAAATTATTGTTTGCGAAAAGTCCGATCAAGAAGACACGGCGAACTTTGAACATTCTTTGGAGTTGACTGTCCCACCGAGACCAAGTGCAGCCACTGTAATTCCTGTACCGGAGTTGCCTCATGGTTCTTTATTGTTGTTTGATATTGTGAACACTTGGGGAGACGCATACTATGTGGGTCTGTCGGGACTGGAGGTGTTCACTTCTGACGGGATAGATATTGCTCCTTTATGTGAAATCTCAGCCGAACCCCCGGACATCAATATCTTACCTGGATACGGTACTGATCCTAGAGTTGTCAGTAATCTTGTTGACGGTATGAACTGGACTCGAGATGATACGCACATGTGGCTGACTCCATTCAATCCCGGAGAACGGCACTTGATTTTTCTCAGATTACCAAACCGAACTAGTCCGATTGCAATGATTCGGGTGTGGAACTATAACAAATCGCGTGTGCACACATCGCGCGGTGTCAGAGAAATGATCATATTTTTGGATAATCAGATCGTTTTTGCCGGGGAAATAAACCGAGCCCTTGGTTTGGAATCAACCGATCCGACGGATTTCTGTGAGACAATCTTGTTTACAACCGATGATGATATCCTGGAAAAAATAGCGAGTAATGACAAGGTGATACACATGTGTCAGCTAGCTCAAGAATCTTCGTTGCACAGAGAAACTTTACCGGAAAACGAAGAACGACCGAAAACTCACGTGCAACCACTGGATCAGGCACAAGATATCAGCCATTCGGAAAGCACCGACCTCAACCTCGCTCTGGATCCGTTTCATTCCGAGGAGATTGATGAGGACAAGGAGGTTAGCTTTATCGAACTGAAATTATTAGAACCATGGAACCGTACGGAAAACCGGGTTGGATTGACCGGTTTACAGGTTTTTGGTGAGACCCAGACCCCGATTCAGATTGCAGATATTCTCCTAGTAACACCATGCGAACCGGACTCTGGTTCTTTGAAACAGCTTTTAAATGGAATTAATGAAACAACGGACGTACAAAACATGTGGTCCTGTGTCTTCCATTTGCATTCCCCACCTCTTATTCGTTTGATTTTCCAAACCGCCAGCAAAATTGTTCGTCTGCGGTTGTGGAACCACAACGGCAAATCGAATCAAATTAACTTTGGTGTTAAGAGAATTCGTATCACTGATAATCGTGGTCGAACTCTAGGCACTACTACACAGGATGGATCCATACTGATTCGCAGAGCTCCGGGGCATACGAAATTTTCACTTGCACAAAATATTCCCCTTCGAGCGAGTTCCCGTCGTCCGACTCAGTTTACAGAATTGGACAGTCAGTTAGATAAAAATCAAACTTTGCCCTGTGGTTTTGTCTACCGTTTGGATATTTATTCTACTTGGTCGGACCGTTATTATGTGGGATTGGACGGATTGGAATTACTAGATTCCGACAACCAGTCGATACCTATTCGGCCGCAATCAATATTCGCTTCTCCGAGCTCAATCAACGAGATCGTGGGAAATGGTGCGGCCAAATATATTGACGTACGGACTGTGGACAAACTGATTGATGGAGTTAACTCAGGGCCCGATATGAGTTCGCATTGTTGGCTAGCACCAGTCGATTCGAACCATGGCAATCAAATATTCATTGTTTTTGATGAACCAGTTGTTGCTTGTGGTCTTCGATTATGGAATTATTCACGCACAGCAGAGCGTGGAGTGAAGGAATTCGCTATCCTCGTGGATGATCAAGTCGTTTTCCGTGGTTATCTTCCGAAAACCTGCCCAGAGGTTCATCAAACGCAGAGCAACCAATCTAACCGGTACAGTACGAATCGGGCAGATACAGTACTCCCGATTGCAAATAATTGGCGATTAGTTGCTGGTGGTCAACGCCACTCCTATCTCGTTATTTTTGATCAGAATTATGCCAAACAATTTCCGGAATACCCAAATTACATTATTGGACTAGAACACCCTTCCTCCCCTTCGGGTTCAACACTGCACGTGGAACCGATAAAAATGACAAATGTTGAATCCGGTTATGAAAAACCAAAATTGTTTTCACGAACACAAAGAAATCCGGTCAATCCTGAACTTCGTCCATTTACGTGCGTGGCACACAAACGTCGTTGATTCATTACAACATTTCCCGCAACTACTGACAGCATTTGAGTAGACGAAGTCTTCCGGTGTATTTTTTCTAAATTTTCACACGACATTCGAGTATTTTCTACCAACTCATTGGAAGCAATAATTGACACTGAGTTGCATGATTTTGCAATATAAGTGAGTATTACATGAACCGTTCCACTTTTAAGATTAATGCTGGTGAATTAAATGGAGGACAGGTTGGGGACTTTCCGGAGGACATTTCATCCAAAAACCTTACTTAACGGAATAATTCGTTTATATGTTATACGAAAATCGAAAGATAGAATCAAAGAGTGACGGTTTGTTCAATAACAGCTTATTGATGGCTTTGTGCAGCGATATGTCATTGTTTGACAGAGTGATCTCAGATAACCCCTCACAGGAAGTGGAATTCCATGACAAACAAGCAGCCGCTCACGTTTCACACCGGTTCATCTAGCTGGTGACGAAAAAATGTCAGAGTTAAACATTATTGCTAAAATTTGGTTTGACTCGATGGAACTCTGTGAATTACCGTATGGAACTGGACTGGGTGCGTATGCAGAAGTAGCAATGTTTTTGCCCAAGGCTTTGCTATACTTCCACTAATGTATTATCTTCACTAAATATTGATGACTCTACATAGTTTGCATTACCTAAACTTGAGAAGAGTTCTAAGAGCCGAACGAGAATCCATTTTGTGTCTGAGGCGGAGGGAGGGAGGAGAGTGATAAAAGTGGGGTCCAATGAAACTTGATAACTTTGTGATGACATTCTCCCTTCCTTTTTCGATGGAAATAGCAGTTTTATCTTCCCTACGAATTTGCTGATATTTACGTGTGTTTTAGGAATATTAAGTGGTAACCTGAAATGGTTGCATACTCGCAAATTCCGAATTTTTATTTATTGTATAAAACATTGTGAATATATATGTAATTATACTATTAGAAAGAGTGCCCAATAAAGCAGCAAGAAAAAGTCTGGGTGCGAGCGACCAAACTGTATTGGAAGAAGCGTTGGACGAGAATCGAGTGAAACGAGATAGGGAGCAAGAACTTTTCAAAACTAAATAGGTTTTACACTAAAAACTACTTATCTTCGGTACTTGGAAAACAATTTTATTTTCTAATGTTTCTTAGGATTGATAATTGATACACAGAACTAAGGTATATTGGATTCAGGTTAAGCAACATATGCAATTTGTTTACCCTTATTAGGGTAAACGTTCAAAAAGCTACTGTAATTTTTGCCTAGTAATAATTCTCAAAGTAAGTTGCATGGAAGAAAAGCGTGATAATGAGGTGATATATCAGTTGCTGAAAAGCAAGACAATAGTTACCCACTATCTCATCGATCAACGATTTATAAAAAGGATTTAGCAATTAGATAAGAACTACCTCAGTAGAGTCATAAGTTCATTGGTAAAGTAGATATTATCGAATTAGGGTTGAGTTTATATATATATATATATATATATATATATATAATATTTGAATCCCGTAGTGAATTTGAACAGGCAAGTCAGAAGACAAACACTGCGAGAGGAAGTCCTTTCGTATACTCTCATCGGTCGCGTACGTATAACATCGAACAAGATAGACAAATGATCCGATCACACGGCGCCGCCCCCTCCCCACGTTCAAAGATAGTCGTCCATTCCAGTCTACTTCTCACTGCATTTACGCCTTCTGTTGCAGCCGCAACGAAGCATACATTGGTAGAACCGACTGATCAATGCGAACTAGAATGGCTGAACACATCCCCACGTATGTGCCTGACTCTATGACTCAGCCCACACCACACACTGACCGCATCACGCAGACCGACTTCGGCCATCGCACGTCACTTGGTTGAAAGCGGCCACAGGGTAGACCAAACGAACGCGTTCTCGGTTTTGTCACATCATCGAGACAAACACCGACTAAGAAAACTCGAGGAATTATCGAGCCCTCACAACAAACCCACATATCCATCCATCCAAAAACGTATGACCTTTACCCTTGGCCTTCCCTGGCTGTAACCAATCACGTGCATCACACACTGTACACAATCACACATATACACATATATGGTAATACTAATTAGATTTCTTAATTCGCTTCATTTGTCTATCTTGTTCGATGTTACACTTACGCGACCGATGAGAGTATACGATTGGACTTCCTCTCGCAGTGTTTGTCTTCTGGCTTGCCTGTTCAAATATATATAATAGCCCAAAACAACCGGTATCCATCACGTTTATGACATCCTAGGTCTTTTTTGTTATACGGACTATCTTCTGTGGGATGTTTGAAATCAGGGTTTTCCAGTGATGGATACTACATACATCAAACTCTTTTTTAGAAAATGATCCAGTGTGAGTTTAATTTTAAACGACAAATACCAACAGTCTTTATATGCTTTCTGTTTATTTATTGGAAGATGTACAGTCAGACTCTTGTCAGGTGACTGCATACGATCAAAACATCCTGGGTGCATATAGAGTGGGTGATGCGGGCGGCATTTGTGCGACTCGGTTAGAAGACATTCGAGTCGGTTTAACTATAAACTGTATTGCCTGACCCCTATCATCTGTGAGTTATTGAAGAGGTTGAAAACCAGTGATTCAGCCTACTAATTCATCTTACCACATCATATTGCGATATGCTGTAAAACCTCTGAAATCTATGCTTCAATTAATTGCCAGTGGCTGCTTAGAACGGTTCGTTTCTTTACGGNCGTTAGGGAGTATATAGTGTATTTTTATCAAGAAAATAGTATCTTTACAGAACGGTGAGGTCACTGTGGAATCGTCGTTTACACTGCTCATGGTGAATACATTTACAGTCAAACATGAGCTTGTACTGCTGAATAATGCCATCAGTGAATTAGATATTTGCTCCGGATATACAAATTCCAACTGGACTTCATGAGGCCGGTTTTCTGTGTTATGTAAAACAAATGGTATTCTTTTTTAGTGTCACATTTACGATGGTCGACCAAGTGCAAGCTGAAAACGGCAATTTATACTCTTTGAGGTTGACAGACACTTCCCATGGGCACGTGAAAATTGATGAACATCTAGTAGCTATCGCGAAAACAATAATGAACGGTGAGTTATTAGGTAACCAACCTAAGCCTACATGAGTTTATTAAAAACATGCAAATGGTCTGAACAGCTACTCGGTAGTCAAGCGGGTAGTACGCTTTCGTTCTACCTGTGAGGTACTGGGTTGATCCTCATTTGGGTAGATGGATTCGCACCGCTGATGAAACCCAGTCAGGTCGAAACATGTGTTCAGTGCTTATTAGCTTCACAGTTCACGCTTCATCTGCTCTTTACACGACGAAGTTTACCATATAAACTAAAAATTTGATTTAGCATGAAAAAGGAATAACCAAAAATCACTCGTTATCGTTTAATACTTGGTCTTAGTTTGAAGCCTTATTGTAAAAAATTTTAGACTTTCAATACGCATCGTATCCTTCCAACTAAGCAGACTGATTCCTGGAGCGAAGCCATTTACATTCCATGAAATCAGATTGCCAGGTTTCGTGTCACAGTAGGTCTAAGGTAATAGTGAATGGGGTTCGAATCTTAGCAGAATGTACACTGTTTCTATATTTCTCTTGAAACCATTGTGAATGTTTCAGCTATTGTCTCTATTAGCAGAAGTTGTTAAAGTGGAATTACTAGTGATTATTAGTGAATTCAAAGAGTATGAAGAACTCTGCAGCAAACTTCCATCCTTGCGCTTTATTAAAAAGGATGCTAAGTGAATATGGTGAATATGGCATTCAAGTGGGCCTCGTTTTCGGACTTGTGACCGAAAACTCGTGACTGCGGGTGGAATATTTACGTTGAGCTCCGATGGGATGAGTATGATATAGAGTTGGATGACAACAAAAGCTTCATTCCATTTACATGGTCATCAAAGTGGTTAGGCCACGGAAACACACTTCTGCTGAGATTGTTTTAAGAACCACCATTTTTATTATCTCGTAGCCTTAATTCTTAATTGTTAGATGATGTGGGAATATTGTTACATGTAAGTTTTGTGAAAACACTTTTATAAAGGGTAGAACTTGAAAAGGCATAAAATTACTGATCACGCAATGCACATTAAAACAGTCGAAAAAAATTGTCGGATACTCTTGGTGAGGACAACAGAGAAACCTGCTGAAACCGGAACGTATCAGGATTGCATGTCCGTTGGGAAATGACATTTCAGTTCCCACAATGAATAAAATTTATCATAAAACAACATCAGATGTTGCTTTTTGGGAGCCTATGGGGGCGGGTTGGGATGGGAGCTCGTGTATGTGTGTGTGTGTGTCTGTGCATGTCTGTGTTCGAGTGCATGCAGGGGAAAGGGAAGTTGAGCAAAGCTTTGTTTAGCTTATCGTCGTCCGACAGACGATGGTTGCCCGTGAAATCTAGAACATTCTGTGGTGACAGCATGAGATAACACTGCACTGGTTGTGTTAGTAGTTTTGGATGCGAATCAGTCAAGCTGTTGGGGCCAGACGATAAGAGATGGAGAAATTATCTAACAAAAAATGGTTTGATAGAGCTGAACATACCAAATGATCGAGTGGGAAAGAGAAATACTCAGCTAAAGATGCCTTGTATGGGTGAAAAAAGATAAAATGATCAAATTTGGCATGTAATAAATTTTTTACCCATGGCATTGCAACAATAAATATGGTCAGTTACTCATAGGGACTTACGAAGTTAGGGAGGGGAATTAAAATTTTCAACAATTTGGATCATTATTGGTCTCCATTTTGCATGTAGGTGAATTGAATTCGTTAGGAGTCAATTATCACTTGTTCGGATGTTAGATGATGTGCAGCTTGTCGGCAATACGGCCATGGAGCCTGAGTGCTTGCACAAATTACTTCTGAGCACACAGATGGGGGTTGTGAAGGCGGATGCTGATTACCTGAGCTGTGGCTTGGATATGGAAGCCCATGTGTCTAGACTAAATGACTTTGTACAGGGGTCAGAGCACTTCGGTTAC